AGTAAGTTGACAAGGATCGTAATCTAAGTCCATATAGGAAATAAAATAAGAGTAGAGATATATTTCTAATAATAATACTAAATACTAAACCACGATAAGTCTCTTCAGTTTGGATCTTCTTCTTTTGTTTTTTTCTTAAACGCCGACTTTTTTCTTTTTGCCGTAGAGATCATATCCTCATTGGCCACAATTTTTTCCCCGTACAAACTCTTGGTTTGGGTCTCTCTCTTCTTTTTTTTGCCGTAGAGAGATTTTGTTATGTTTTTTTTTCTGCCTTAGAGACCGTGTCCTCATCGGCCATGTATTGTTTTTTTTTCTGTCTTAGAGGCCTGTTCGGCTTGCTGAATCTTGACTGAAACTGGCTGAAAACACTGTTCCGGCTAAATTGTTGTGAGAGAAAAATACTATTCCGGTTAAAAAAACAAGCCGAATATAGAGTAAGCCGAACGGGACCTCATCGGCCATGTATATTTTTTTGGTCAAGGAACCTATATCCATATGTCAAGTAAAACTTGAGACGTGTAGAAGAGAGATTTGGATTAGGATTCCTATTCCTATTCAGTTTATTCAGACTCGAAGAGATCTATTTATCCTAACTATCTAAGGTCATATAAGTATATAGACGGAAGAAACTCTCGACTACCGGTAGGTAGAGAGATGTGAACGAAAAAAATGATTAGAAATTTTGTCCCTTTATTATTAAGTATAAATTATATTATTTTTTGAACGGAGGGAGCAGTGTTATTTTTCAGGCGTAGACAAGGCGAGCTAGCAGTCTGTTGTCAGGAGTTTTTTTAATTTTAACCATTTTTGAATATAATTTTAAATCTAACACTGTCGATTTTTTTTAAACTAACACTTTTAGCGCGCTTTATTGCCTTTGTGTGGCCAAATACATATCTCGCCGCGCCATGCATGGTGCGCTGGCGGAGGCTTGCTGACGTGGCGAGGCGGCTTGGGGGGGCCGGCGTGGCGACTCTGCCGCGCGCCACATACCTATGGCGCGAGTGCCGATGGTGAATCGAAACGCCCCAGACCATATATACCGCGGCGCAGCAGGCCATCGCCATGAGTATGGTCCCGTTGCCATCTCATCGCGCGCGAATACTCCCATGCGGTGAGGGCAATAATGGCGGTATCAAAAAATTAGTTAAAAAAATCGCCACGTGTTAGATTTAAAATTATATTAAAAAAGGTTAAAATTAAAAAATCGTTCGTCGAGCGCAATCGCCAAGTCAAAACCTAAAAGCGATAATAATAAAAAAAATTGGTGCTGGCAGTCACAGGCTCACAGCTGGCGCAAAAGCTTAAAAAAAAAATTCGACAGGGACTGAAAAATCTAAAATTATGGCTGATTGTTAAAGAGAAAAAAAAAATCGTTGTCAGAGCACGAAGCCAAGTCAAAACCTAAAAGCGATAATAATAAAAAATTGGTGCTGGCAGTCACAGGCTCACAGCTGGGCGCCGAACACAGGGCTTGCCAAGCCAGCCGTTGATGCCGCGAAGCCGAGCGAGCCGCCAGCAGGCTTGCCAGGTAACCCCGTCGTCATCCACCCGTTCCGCACCGAGAAGGATTGGAGGAACCCTACCCTCCCATACCAATCTCGCCTCGTTTCGTCTCAGCTGCATTCCAATTCCATCATCTGCAAGCGGAGAGCCTTCGTGGTCCGCCTGCTCTGCTCATCAGAAATTCAGAATAGAGGAGGCAGGCCGCCGCCCGCAGGCAGTCCACCGAAACAAAACACTACTCCGTCTCGCCTCCCTCTCCTCTTCCCCAGCGATTTCCTCCTCCCGCTCCTCCTCCGCCGAGGCCGCACCGCAGCGACCCCGCCGTCCTCCGCTCGCGCGCGAGGTGATGCTTCACTCCCGCCTCCTCTCGTTCCAATCCTACCTTTTTTTTTTTCATTCCTTCGGCCACGATGTGCATGCATGCTACTACGCCGGGGTGTTACGGGTATGAGAGCTTTCGGGATTAAGGTGCTAGGTCCCTCTTCGGGGAACCTCATGTGGTTGGGGAATTCCCTCCCCGCGTCCCATCTCATGGTGGGTGGTGGCGCTGTTAGATCTGTTCTGTCCGTTCCCTCTCGTTCTACACTTCAGCGAGGAGAACGATAGCTGCGAGCCTGCGAGATTTAGGGGCCCTAGGCTGGAGTAGGCGGCCTCTGTTTTTGGGGTGTTCTGCAATTCGGACAGTACGGGGCTCTGAAGCATGGAGTCATCATAGAGAAAGGACGCCTGTTTTCCTTTTTTTAATTCCTTTTACGTCCCTCTTTGTACTGCTTTTGTTCCTAGCTGGCTATATACTCTCTGGTCAAGAGTTCCTTGTACTGCTAAGCATATCTGAGTTTTTGCCAGCAAATCCTATTGTCACCCCCCCTCAAAAGGTTTTCTTCTTATAACTGGCTGTTCATCTTATTGGGGATTCTTTTTAGTGGCTCTTAAATGTTTAAATCCCAAGAGTTTCAGCGTGGTCATCGTTTAAGTAGTCATTTGAACACAACTAGTCAACCTGTTAGCTTTGCGTTTTGATGGATTTATGGTTTCTCTTGTTTTATATGTTTCTTATGGAGAATTGAGAACCTTATTTTGTGTTCTAAATTCTAGGTAGCTTCAATTGTTTGTTAGCTATCTTCAACTCTGCTATTTCAGATGAATCTGTCATGTGTGTGATTCCAATTTTTTTGAGAAAGATGTGATATGCGCATACGGTACAATGGTTTGCTGATTCTATCATTATCAAACCCTGAAAGAGAGCACCTAGATAGAGCTACCTAAAACTACTTTCTGGATTAGGCTACTCACGAATCACGATAGCATCCAAGTGCTCACAACAACAACAACAACAACAACAACAACAACAAAGCCTTTAAGTCCCAAACAAGTTGGGGTAGGCTAGAGTTGAAACCCAACAGAAACAATCAAGGTTCAGGCACGTGAATAGCTGTCTTCCAAGCATTCCTATCTAAGGCTAAGTCTTTGGGTATATTCCATCCTTTCAAGTCTCCTTTTATTGTCTCTACCCAAGTCAACTTCGGTCTTCCTCTGCCTCTCTTCACGTTACTATCCTAACTTAGGATTCCACTACGCACCGGTGCATCTGAAGGTCTCCATTGCACATGTCCAAACCATCTCAACCGGTGTTGGACAAGCTTTTCTTCAATTGGCGCTACCCCTAATCTCTCACGTATATCATTGTTCCGAACTCGATCCCTTCTTGTATGCCCGCAAATCCAACGCAACATACGCATTTCCGCGACACTTAGCTGTTGAATATGTCGTCTTTTCGTAGGCCAACATTCTGCACCATACAACATAGCAGGTCTAATCGCCGTCCTATAAAACTTGCCTTTTAGCTTCTGTGGTACCCTTTTGTCACATAGGACACCAGACGCTTGCCGCCACTTCATCCACCCTGCTTTGATTCTATGGCTAACATCTTCATCAATATCTCCGTCCCTCTGTAGCATTGATCCTAAATATCGAAAGGTATCCATCCTAGGCACTACTTGACCTTCCAAACTAACATCTTCCTCCTCCCGAGTAGTAGTGCGAAGTCACATCTCATATACTCGGTTTTAGTTCTACTAAGTCTAAAACCTTTGGACTCCAAAGTCCCCGCCATAACTCCAGTTTCGATTCACTCTGTCCGGCTTTCATCAACTAGCACTACATCGTCTCATGAAAAGCATACACCAAGGATGTCCCTTGTATGTCCCTTGTGACCTCATCCATCACTAAAGCAAACAAATAAGGGCTCAAAGCTGACCCTTGATGTAGTCCTATCCTAATCGGGAAGTCATCCGTGTCTCCATCACTTGTTCGAACTCTAGTCACAACATTGTTGTACATGTCCTTAATGAGTCCGGCGATGCCGTTGGGACTTTATGTTTGTCCAAAGCCCACCACATAACATTCCTTGGTATTTTATCATAAGCCTTCTCCAAGTCAATAAAAACCATGTGTAGGTCCTTCTTCTTCTCCCTATACCGCTCCATAACTTGTCTTATTAAGAAAATGGCTTCCATGGTTGACCTTCCGGGCATGAAACCAAATTGGTTCATAGAGACCCGCGTTATTGCTCTCAAGCGATGCTCGATAACTCTCTCCCATAGCTTCATAGTATGGCTCATCAACTTAATTCCCCGGTAATTTGTACAACTTTGAATATCCCCTTTATTCTTGTAGATCGGTACCAATATACTTCTCCTCCACTCATCAGGCATCTTGTTTGATCGAAAATCCAAGTGCTCAATACAAAACAAATTCTGTCAAAGATCATAATCCTTAGGATTCCACTTGTGCAAATTATTGTTCTAGGTATCTCAAGGGCTTTGGTGATATGCTCGAGAAAGATTGCACTCATGTTAGTTACCTCTGTTAAATGATTTTGTGTAAAAAAAAAAAATCAATCTGTTGAATACTGTTACTCATGGTCTCAGGGTTCTGACTTTGCTTACTTTAGTTCAGCAGCTATTTCTTCTATCATGTGTTGGTCACCTTGCATTGACTTAAGCTTTGTAAAGCATACACCCACATTTTTTACTTGCTTGAGCTTTGGCAAATTCTACTACTGATAGTTAGTTTATAAGATCATGCCTACTATATATTTTTATATCTGAATCTTATCTGACACTACTTTTTTTTCTCTTAACTTTAAGATTGTGCAACCACATAATCTGGATGCTCCTGCCTATGCATGATGTCAACCACCAGAGATATTGTTTAGTGCTGGGAAAGTTGTGCAGTTTTGGATAATAAATTTCACTGAAACAAGATAATTATGGACCGTGCAGACACATCAGGGTTTGTCAGTGGTGGTTGCTTTGGTACTACACTCCTGCTGATATTCTTCCATTTCGTCTATTCTACAGTCCGTGTCTGATAGATCATCAAGAACCCTTGAGCTGCCTGGGCAGAAATATCATTAGGCCCCTGTTCTTTGAGCACTTTACTGTTTTATCTCATTTTCTTTCCGCCATTGTGATAGAGTCTCAACTGTGATGGATAACGGCTTCATGGACATCCCCCATCCGCCTCTGATGAATGACCCCTTTGTGTTAGTGGGATGCTCAGCGCCAAGCTCCACAATGAAGAACATGGGTCAAAGCACACTCTGTATGGACGGCCTGAACCCAGCAATGGTTAGTTGCAGCCATGTTAATGGAAATACGCAGATAATGAATGACATAACAGCGAGAGATGATGGCAACAGGTTAGTCCTTGGTTTGGGTCCAACACCGAATTTTTATTCTGCAGTGTCCACTGGTTCAAAACAAGATCAGAGGTTGTCCGGCCAGAGTTCTACTTTCACTGATTCAGGGATGCTGAGGCTTGGTCTTCAGATGGATGGTGGGGAAGCAATTCAATATCTGCAAGCACCGAATGGAGCACTCCATTCTTTAGGTGTTGTTGACGAGGCTTCAACATCTGCTACTGTAAGGAACATGGGTGGTTACATGCCATCCCTACTCTTTGCTCCCCGTGCCAATTCTACTGTCAATGAGACACAAGTAGAAACCCCAGATTCCGTAGACCTCACGCACAGCACCAACAATAGTCAGCATCTTCAACATCACCTGCAGCTCAGCCCTGAACCCTCTGCAACGACCGAGTCTTCATTTGGTGTGAGTTCTGATGTTGTCACTGCAACAACTACATCAGAACGTAGCCATTCCCGACATCCTAAGAAATGCAGGTTTAAGGGATGTTCCAAAGGTGCAAGAGGCGCATCAGGATTGTGTATTGCTCACGGAGGTGGGCAGAGATGTCATAAATCTGGATGCCATAAAGGTGCCGAGAGCAGTTCTGCATACTGCAAAGCCCACGGTGGCGGTCGCCGGTGTGAGGAGCTTGGTTGCACCAAAAGTGCAGAAGGAAAAACAGATTATTGCATTGCTCATGGTGGAGGCTGCCGCTGTGAACATCCTGGCTGTCCTAAAGCTGCCCGGGGTAAGTCTGGGCGGTGCATCAAGCACGGTGGCGGGAAGAGGTGCTCGGTTAAAGGTTGCATTCGGAGTGCCGAGGGGAAGGCTGGACTGTGCATTTCTCATGGCGGTGGCCGACGGTGCCAGTATCCAGATTGTGGCAAGGGGGCACAGGGCAGCACATTGTACTGCAAGGGACATGGTGGTGGCAAGAGGTGCATCTTCGATGGTTGCAGCAAAGGCGCAGAGGGTAGCACACCTCTGTGCAAAGCACATGGTGGTGGGAAGCGATGCATGTTTGAAGGAGGTGGTGTCTGTGCAAAGAGTGTGCACGGGGCTACTGAATACTGCGTGGCACATGGAGGAGGGAAGCGCTGTTCCGTGCCCGGCTGCACCAAAAGTGCTCGTGGCCGCACTGACTGCTGTGTGAAGCACGGTGGGGGCAAGCGGTGCAAGGTTGACAACTGCGGCAAGAGCGCCCAGGGGAGCACGGAATTCTGCAAAGCCCATGGTGGAGGAAAGCGGTGCACTTGGAGCACAGGCTGTGAAAAGTTCTCCCGTGGCAAGAGTGGCTTCTGTGCGGCACATGGTACCTTGATGGCCAGGCAGCGAGAACAAGAGGCGGTGAAGAATGTAGGAAGCATGATTGGACCAGGTCTCTTCAGCGGCATTGTGGTATCATCTGCCACCGCAGCAAGCAGCATGATGAACGAGCACTCGTCCTCTGGTGTCAGCACCGCTTCCGACTGCGATGGCACCGTGAGGAGCCAATCAATGATTCCTCCGCAGGTGCTGGTTCCTCGCTCTATGATGCCTTCTTGGTCGTCTGAGCCTGTAGATGGAGGCAGAGAGGGAGGTCATGTTGTTCCTGAGGGGAGGGTCCATGGTGGTGGCCTCCTGTCACTTCTTGGTGGCAGCTTCAGGAATGCCGATGTGGAAAAGCTTTGAAGCTAGTGCTTTTCCATCTGCAGATTCGGTCAGTTTGTTTGTACATAAACAGGGCGTGTTTCCGCCTATTGAATTCTCATTGTGCCTTTTCTTGTCTAGATAAACATTTCAACCTTCATGTACTGGTTAAGTCCATTATAAAGTGGTGAATGGCAATTGTTGTGAACGCTTTTTGGCTTGTTGGTTCAGTTGTGGTCAGTACTGCAATAAATTCGTGTACTTATTATGCTGCTCTTATATGTTTGTGCGCATTCTTAAGAAACTTGTCTGGACTTTTCATTGCAAAGTGTTGGATGCCAATTTTCTGAAATCTGTAATTTTTCAGCATGTCGGTCCAGGTTATATTTGTTCTCTGTTTCTGTTTGTGCATATTGTTATTAAGTTATATTCGACTTTTTTTGCGGTGGTGATGAATTCCCATATACCTGAATCCTGCCTTTTTCCTGATCTATCGTTCTTTTTTGCACTATATATAGTTTTATAATGAATAATAATGCAAAATGCTAACCGGAGAACCTTATTCCTGCAATTACTCATCACCTCCATGTTTTATTTTGATTGAATTGGGTGATTACAAAGGTTAATTTATAGATAGATATTTCATTGAACAAAAAAACACTATTTGCCGAATTTGGTAAAGAAGAGGTGCAACCTTAACCACATGCTAGAGTGTGTTCGGTTCAGCTTTTGGAATTGCAACCGAAAAGCAAAAAACCAGCTAAACGGATAGAACCAAGCAGCGACTCTTGTATAGTATAATTTTCATAGCACATTGGATCCTGTTTTTGACTTCTAGCTTTCTTCTTTCCGATGGATGACAATAAAAGAGATGTTTAGCGGCTGTTTCAAGGGAGATAAAGAGAATAGGTTTTATAGTTATTTTAACCAGACAACTTCAGTTTTTTCACAGCACATAACTCACGATGTCTTTTCCACAACGTATGAGTTTTTCCGCAGCTCACAGCTGAACCATACAAACCCTTAATAGATCTAGGAGCTGCACACAATTAATATCTTACACCACCTCAGATCTATACAAACGATGAGATGGAATGAAAAGTGTGTCCAAAAAGTAATGATTAAACGGGTATCTTGAGATTAACGGCCATAAATTATTAGTGGATCTGAATGAAAAATGAGTCCAAAAAAGAATAGATTAAACGAGTATCTTGAGACTGGCTCTGTTCGGCTGGGCTAAATCGGCTGGCTGGGCTGTTCAGCCCAGCCGTTCGGCGGCCCAGGTCCAGCCGAACGGCTGATCTAAAAGCTTATCGGCTGGCCGTATTCGCACTCCCTCCCTCGTTCCGTTCCCCCGATAGCCGCTATGGTTTGCGCTCGCTTGCCCCTCAGCCTCTCTCCTCCTCGCGGGCCGCGGCGGCTGTGAGCTCCGCTTCGCCGTGCCCATCCCGGCTGCCGTAAGCGGATCCCTGCCCGCCTGCCTCGCAACGCCGTGAGGGCGCCCCGTCGCCGTCGACGCCTTCCGCGGCGATCGTCAGCTCCGCATCCCTCCCAGAACCCGCCACCATCGACGCCCGTCCACCGGCGACAGGTAACGCCAGATACGAGGCCGGCGTCATCCCTCCGCCTCCGGATCTGACCCCCACGTGCTCTTTTTGCAGGTGTATCTCGACCGCCGCCAACGGATCCGCATCTCAGCTCGCCGGAATCGCCTGCCGCTTCGCCAGATCCGGGGACCCTAGGTTCGTTCTCGTGCACCTGCTTCCCAACTCTGGCTAGTCATTGCCGCCATGTCGTGCCCCACCGCACCACTTTCCCCACGCCCCCTTCCGGCCTTCCCCTTCGTCGCCGCCTCCCGGGAGTCGAAACTCTAGCCAGCCAGCTCATGGCCGGGGCGGCTCCTGTTAGTCTTGATTCCGTTGTTGAATGTGCTTGCAAATAGTAATGCTATTGGATATTTGGGTTCGTAGGCTCTTCCCATGTTTGCATGACGCGGCGCTCATGTTTCTGCAAGTTCTGTGATACAACTAAGCACTAACCAACACAATAAATTTTGGCTAAGTGACTGACCACTTGTTTGTCAATAATACTCACATTCTAGTTATCCAATCATGCAAGAGTTGCGTCACCGACTCCTAATGAACCTGGACCTCCTTGTCTTGTGACATGTCCACCTTTAGAAAAAAGAACACTCAAGCTTTAATGCCTAGATGCTAGACAAATGGTAATTTTACCCTCACTATAATTGTCAAAAGTATACTCAGCTAGATAGATTTTTCTTGTATGTTGGTTCAAGCTCTACTGTAATCACACGCTCATGGCATGCTTATAGAATGATGCTGATGCAAACTGTAGCTTTGGGTTTACCTGTTGCTTGATGCTGCCACTTTCATTGTGCACATATAATTTCATTTACAAGGTGCTTTTTTGTTTCTATCAGTGCACCGCTCACATTCAAAGTATTGCCCTTTCTGCAGCCATTTCGTGGACGTGCTAGCAAGTGCTGCTCAACGCTGCCCACACTGGCAGCGTCCTCCACTTCATCGTGCTCTTCACCTGAAGCCATGCACTAGAACCTCCGTTCAAAACGCGCCAAGCGTTTTGCCAAGGCACGTCCCCATTTTTTACGCCCTAACTCTCTAGTTTGTATCTCTTAGAGCTGCTGTTTTTTTCATCTATGTTGCGTACATGAGTACATCATTCCATACATTTTAAACATGGCAACAGATGTCCATGGATCATGCTAACTGGGATGACGCCACCTTGAGGACCTTTCTGGAACTAGTGATGGAAAAGAAAAACCTATTGCACTGGAACCAACGAGGCCTCACAACCCTCGGCTAGGCAAATGTCTATCCAGCATTCGAAAAGGCAATGGGGTTGCCGTATGATAAGAAACAGTTGCAAAACAAGTTGAACGAGATGAAGCGGGCATATTTTACTTGGCGCGACCTTCAAACCCACACTGGCATACGCCGTGACCCGAATATTGGAGGCGTCACAGTTGACCCCTCGTTCTTTGAGGGTGGTAACGGGATACTAACTTCCACCTAATTTATTTCTAAGCCCCTGACTACCCAGTACTAGGGATGTTCCTATTCTACTTATTCTAACCTGTGGATCCATGGCACACGTACAGAAAAATAGCAAATCTGCTGCTGAGCGGACCAAAATTCTCAAATGCCTTGACCTACTGATCACTCTTTGGGGACACACCCCCCGCGACAGGGGTTCGTTGCTATCTTCTGGTGGCCATCATCGCGAGAGGACACCCAGTAATGCCAGCCATGGTAGTCCACACGACATGTCACCGGACCCTGTAGGTGTCTAGAGTGTTGGTTAGTCCTCTAAGAGATCCACTAGGGATTACTCTGTCAACAACCCTCCTAGTAAGAAGAGTGCTTCCATTGATGAGTGCCTTAACGATCTGACCGACATCATTAAAGACCATAAGCTGCAGAAGGCCCGTATCAACAAGCAGGAAGAGGAGATGGACAAAGTGGTGAAGACTATGAAAGAAGATGGTTTGCGAGAGTCTGATGCTGTTTATGCTCATGCTTTAATTATTTGCACGAACACACTGCAACGTAGGAACTTCCGGAGCATGAAAACAAAAGAGGGCCGCCTCAACTTTCTGCAGATCTGTTGAGAGGATAGGAGATCCAGATCTAAGTAGATGTTATCCGAACAAGCGCTCCCACTGCGGCAGTCTATGTAGTTTCATTTGCCAAAACGTGCATGCTGAGTTCTACTATATCGTTGAGAATATTTGTTTAAGTTCCATCGTTCTAATGTGGCCCATGGCCTGAACATTTTGTGCTGTTTTTTTCTCCAAGTATCCAAATAAAATGTATTCTGTGATGTAAATATCTTTGTTTAATAGACATTTCGTTTTTTCATGTGTTATGTGGTGTACTGGCTCCGCATTGTTCAGGACGAGGTAGCTGTTGCAGCCATCACGGAGTCCCAAGGTACGAATCCTTCTCTACATTTGTGTGCACATAGGCAGTATATGCTCCTTGCTTCCTAACTTGCTCTTAATTGGTGTTGTAGGTTCATCTACAATTGCAAACCGAGTATCACTATTAATTGGTATTCTAGGTACTGCTCACATTTAATCCTTCAATGATACGTAAACAAGACAAGACTCTTTTATTGTACTATTGAAACATGCAAACCCTTCATCTGGACCCAACCAATTTGAAGGTTCGTATTTGATACTCCATTGACTCATTTCTTCATAAGCTAGCCATCCAAATTTAGGACTAAATCATGTTTTTGCATATGAGCACCACTGAGGACTCCGACAACAGCGACAACTCCAGCGAAGGACCTCCCATTTTCAACTTGGCGGCTGCTGCTGTCCTGCTTGCAAAGTACAAAGCAGTAGTGGCCAATGCAGCTCCAGTGGTGAACCCGGACCTCCCCTTCCAAAAGATGACCGGGCGACAGTGGATGGAAGTCAATCTGCGAAACGAACGAAAGTGCTTGGACAACTTGCATATGTCTCCTGATAACGTCCTACATTTGCATGACATTTTACTTGGGTTTGGACTAAAGGGTACACGACAGACAGGATCTCTAGAATATTTAGGTATATATGTGTGCACTTGTGCTCACAACCAGGCATTTCGAAGGAGCAGGGATAGATTCGAACGGTCTTTAGATACAGTTAGTAGGAAGGTGAGTCATGTTACTGAGGTTATGTGTAGGTGGGCATACCATATTCTTGTTCCAGCTGATAGCACTTATGCTGGAGTGAAATAGCAACTTGGAACATATGCACCATTCTTTGATGGATGCATCGGGTCTTTGGATGGCACTCACGTTAAAGTTAAGGTGAATAAGGAGGCTAAAATTGACCATATAAATAGGAAATGAAATGTAAGTATTAATGTTTGTGCCATTGTCGATATGGATGGCCGCTTCACATATGTCGGTGTGGGGATGGTGGGTTCAGTGCATGACTTGTCGGTTCTGAAACAATGTTGGGAGGAACCAAACTTCCCACATCCACCACACGGTGAGTGACGACTGCCATG